AAAGTCTTCTTTAGGTGTAATACCACCAAATCATAGTACGTCACATCCGGTTGCATACGAAAATAGGTCGAAAAAAAATATTCCCTTGAATTTGACAGTTGTAGGTAATTGATCCTACATTTCATTGCAGTAAAACATTTCTGAGTCATAAACATATATCTTGGGTATTTCAAAGCACCATTATTTCTTTATTTGGGGTTTCAATAGAATATTTTGGAAACTTGAGGTTACATGGTTACTAAAGCTTGTACACAGGTTAAAAAAGGGGGAAAATTTGATTGGTTAACTTCCAGTGATGGTTATTTTCTTATATGCAATGAAATGTTATGTGAAATTTTTTCTATAGTACTAGACAGGATAAAACTTTACTCATGCTAAGTATTTCTTTATTTGAAACAAAGATAAATTCTGCACAATTTTTTGAAAAGTGCAAATTTAACAAAGACTAATAGGGGAAAATCAATGGTGGTATTACACCTAATATGGGAAGCTGTACATGCACCTTTGACCTTGTGAGTACTCTCATGTGTTAAAATTTCTTGCTATTTAAGTGAAATATTACAAATAATGAAATATTCTGAGTGGATTGAGTCTCCAAAATACATTTTATGAGAAAATTTCCTTGAAATAGGACTTTACCATGAATATTAGTTGACAGAACAAGCCATACTTAGAGTCTTGGGGAGCTTTTTCTCCTTATTTCTTATATTCTGCTATACTAGAAAATTTTTCCTAAGAAATACTTTAATAAATATATAGTTTTAAGTAAATGAAATTATTTTTAAAGCAGTAACAACAAATTATTCACCAAAAGAGAAGTTTTTTATGTCCCTCTCTGGAACGCGGCGTAAATTTAAGTTTTACGCAAGGACTTATTGAAACCTCCTTGGAGACAGTAAACTTTTATACGGATAGTTCAAGCAGCTTGAATACTTCAATTAATCATTTATAATAACATTCCTATCATAAATGAGTGAAAGTTACCCCAAAATTTTTATTTATTGGCTTAAAAAGTAGAAATTTTGAGGAAATGAGAGGTATAAATGGACCAAAAGAGACTTTATAAGGAAGAATAAGAGGTCCATTAGTAGTATTTATCATCCTAAAGTCATCTTTTGTATCATATTCAACTGTTTGTAGGCAGATGAGATAAATATTTGATCATTTATTGGTCCACACTATATTCTATCATGATGCGGCTTGGTTTGAATTTTTCGAAGAAATTTTGCTCGAATCGCTGTAGATGTCGTCTTACATTATACTAGATTTTTCTCAAACTATTGAACTGATTATGACAAAACTTGACAGGAATGCTTGAAATAACCAGTATTACAAAGGAAAAAAGTCACATTCAGTTTATTCAACAAAAAAGTCTTCTTTAGGTGTAATACCACCAAATCATAGTACGTCACATCCGGTTGCATACGAAAATAGGTCGAAAAAAAATATTCCCTTGAATTTGACAGTTGTAGGTAATTGATCCTACATTTCATTGCAGTAAAACATTTCTGAGTCATAAACATATATCTTGGGTATTTCAAAGCACCATTATTTCTTTATTTGGGGTTTCAATAGAATATTTTGGAAACTTGAGGTTACATGGTTACTAAAGCTTGTACACAGGTTAAAAAAGGGGGAAAATTTGATTGGTTAACTTCCAGTGATGGTTATTTTCTTATATGCAATGAAATGTTATGTGAAATTTTTTCTATAGTACTAGACAGGATAAAACTTTACTCATGCTAAGTATTTCTTTATTTGAAACAAAGATAAATTCTGCACAATTTTTTGAAAAGTGCAAATTTAACAAAGACTAATAGGGGAAAATCAATGGTGGTATTACACCTAATATGGGAAGCTGTACATGCACCTTTGACCTTGTGAGTACTCTCATGTGTTAAAATTTCTTGCTATTTAAGTGAAATATTACAAATAATGAAATATTCTGAGTGGATTGAGTCTCCAAAATACATTTTATGAGAAAATTTCCTTGAAATAGGACTTTACCATGAATATTAGTTGACAGAACAAGCCATACTTAGAGTCTTGGGGACCTTTTTCTCCTTATTTCTTATATTCTGCTATACTAGAAAATTTTTCCTAAGAAATACTTTAATAAATATATAGTTTTAAGTAAATGAAATTATTTTTAAAGCAGTAACAACAAATTATTCACCAAAAGAGAAGTTTTTTATGTCCCTCTCTGGAACGCGGCGTAAATTTAAGTTTTACGCAAGGACTTATTGAAACCTCCTTGGAGACAGTAAACTTTTATACGGATAGTTCAAGCAGCTTGAATACTTCAATTAATCATTTATAATAACATTCCTATCATAAATGAGTGAAAGTTACCCCAAAATTTTTATTTATTGGCTTAAAAAGTAGAAATTTTGAGGAAATGAGAGGTATAAATGGACCAAAAGAGACTTTATAAGGAAGAATAAGAGGTCCATTAGTAGTATTTATCATCCTAAAGTCATCTTTTGTATCATATTCAACTGTTTGTAGGCAGATGAGATAAATATTTGATCATTTATTGGTCCACACTATATTCTATCATGATGCGGCTTGGTTTGAATTTTTCGAAGAAATTTTGCTCGAATCGCTGTAGATGTCGTCTTACATTATACTAGATTTTTCTCAAACTATTGAACTGATTATGACAAAACTTGACAGGAATGCTTGAAATAACCAGTATTACAAAGGAAAAAAGTCACATTCAGTTTATTCAACAAAAAAGTCTTCTTTAGGTGTAATACCACCAAATCATAGTACGTCACATCCGGTTGCATACGAAAATAGGTCGAAAAAAAATATTCCCTTGAATTTGACAGTTGTAGGTAATTGATCCTACATTTCATTGCAGTAAAACATTTCTGAGTCATAAACATATATCTTGGGTATTTCAAAGCACCATTATTTCTTTATTTGGGGTTTCAATAGAATATTTTGGAAACTTGAGGTTACATGGTTACTAAAGCTTGTACACAGGTTAAAAAAGGGGGAAAATTTGATTGGTTAACTTCCAGTGATGGTTATTTTCTTATATGCAATGAAATGTTATGTGAAATTTTTTCTATAGTACTAGACAGGATAAAACTTTACTCATGCTAAGTATTTCTTTATTTGAAACAAAGATAAATTCTGCACAATTTTTTGAAAAGTGCAAATTTAACAAAGACTAATAGGGGAAAATCAATGGTGGTATTACACCTAATATGGGAAGCTGTACATGCACCTTTGACCTTGTGAGTACTCTCATGTGTTAAAATTTCTTGCTATTTAAGTGAAATATTACAAATAATGAAATATTCTGAGTGGATTGAGTCTCCAAAATACATTTTATGAGAAAATTTCCTTGAAATAGGACTTTACCATGAATATTAGTTGACAGAACAAGCCATACTTAGAGTCTTGGGGAGCTTTTTCTCCTTATTTCTTATATTCTGCTATACTAGAAAATTTTTCCTAAGAAATACTTTAATAAATATATAGTTTTAAGTAAATGAAATTATTTTTAAAGCAGTAACAACAAATTATTCACCAAAAGAGAAGTTTTTTATGTCCCTCTCTGGAACGCGGCGTAAATTTAAGTTTTACGCAAGGACTTATTGAAACCTCCTTGGAGACAGTAAACTTTTATACGGATAGTTCAAGCAGCTTGAATACTTCAATTAATCATTTATAATAACATTCCTATCATAAATGATTGAAAGTTACCCCAAAATTTTTATTTATTGGCTTAAAAAGTAGAAATTTTGAGGAAATGAGAGGTATAAATGGACCAAAAGAGACTTTATAAGGAAGAATAAGAGGTCCATTAGTAGTATTTATCATCCTAAAGTCATCTTTTGTATCATATTCAACTGTTTGTAGGCAGATGAGATAAATATTTGATCATTTATTGGTCCACACTATATTCTATCATGATGCGGCTTGGTTTGAATTTTTCGAAGAAATTTTGCTCGAATCGCTGTAGATGTCGTCTTACATTATACTAGATTTTTCTCAAACTATTGAACTGATTATGACAAAACTTGACAGGAATGCTTGAAATAACCAGTATTACAAAGGAAAAAAGTCACATTCAGTTTATTCAACAAAAAAGTCTTCTTTAGGTGTAATACCACCAAATCATAGTACGTCACATCCGGTTGCATACGAAAATAGGTCGAAAAAAAATATTCCCTTGAATTTGACAGTTGTAGGTAATTGATCCTACATTTCATTGCAGTAAAACATTTCTGAGTCATAAACATATATCTTGGGTATTTCAAAGCACCATTATTTCTTTATTTGGGGTTTCAATAGAATATTTTGGAAACTTGAGGTTACATGGTTACTAAAGCTTGTACACAGGTTAAAAAAGGGGGAAAATTTGATTGGTTAACTTCCAGTGATGGTTATTTTCTTATATGCAATGAAATGTTATGTGAAATTTTTTCTATAGTACTAGACAGGATAAAACTTTACTCATGCTAAGTATTTCTTTATTTGAAACAAAGATAAATTCTGCACAATTTTTTGAAAAGTGCAAATTTAACAAAGACTAATAGGGGAAAATCAATGGTGGTATTACACCTATACGCCCTGAACTTCTAAGAGTTTAAACTTACATTAAAATTCTGTACTACGCCTACCTTGACTTTAGATTTTCCACAGATTTCAATTTGACCGCTATGCATATGTATATTTACTGGTAACATTCCGAAGTTATGTCTCTACGAGATGAAACTATAGATCATATCTGGGAACCAGTACGTAAACAAAATTAATCATCTATGAATATTATATATCTCCCCAACAGAGGCTTGGTTTGTGAAACAGCTGTATTTACAAAGTGCAACCTATAGAGCTTTGTTTTTGACAAATACCTACGTGTAACTATCACATAACATGTATAAACATGTTTGTAGAGAACTATCGTTATCACAGTATAAGTAGTATTTATATTTTAATTACAATTAAAACAGTAGAGAAAATAAAACAAAAGCCAATAATAATTTGAAAGTTAATTTCATTCAAGGTAATGACTCAGACATAAAACAAATGAGCAGACACCGTATGTAAAATCGTAATGAAATACAAGTGCATGCGCCCGTCATTCCTATATAACATCTTCGTATGCTGGCGGATTGACTGTGGGTATAGATGTTGAATCGTTTGAAATGGCGAGCCTTTCCTCGTCAACTACTTTGTGTGTCCTTGAATTAAAGGAAACAATGGCAGCTGCATTTCGGTTTATAATATCTTCGTATGCTGGTGGATTATTAGTTGGAGTATATGTTGTTTCGTCTGGTAAGTTAATTCGAGTGTCATTATCTGAGGTAAAATTGTCAAGCCTTTCCCCACCTATTCGATGACCATCCTGCGTCTTTGGATATGCAATAAAGGCAGCTGAATTCCCATTCTCACGGTACAAACCTGATGTAAGAATTATTACCATTACTGTTAATGATTTTGACTACTCTGTACTATTTTATACATATATTCCGTATGTTTGTTTTGTATAGTATTTCATTTTTTGAAATCGTTCTCTTCGAAACTTTATTTTGCTTTGTTTGAATAATATTCTTGTTTCGATTTTTATTTGTATCATAATTGACGTAAGAAATGAATAAAGTATCTGGTTTTAAAAAAAGATACAAAATATACAAATTATATCTGTTATAAAAGTATTCGGTTAAAAAGAAAAAAAAACTTAAAATTACACATGCATGTATTTTGAAATCTCTAACAGACCTTGAATGATCGATAGCTTTACTGATTGTAATCGGTTATGGTTTTGTCCCGATATAAAAACATTAACTGTTTAAGTTTTACTGTTCCAGATGAGTATTTCGACAATAAATATCTCTTCAATTAAGCTTGAGGCCATGTTTTTGTAAAACAAAATCTTATACAAACTTTTACCTGGTGTTCATACCAAAAAGGACTTAAAAGTACATTCAAATCCGAAACTCTTACCAATAATACGATACTGTAAGTGTTCGTTGGTTTGTTGTAAGGATCTTGATTGTTGAATACGTCTGATATTTTTTAGTTTCTTTGCATTTTCGTTCCTCACGTAGTATCGACAGCAAGACAGACAGCAGGAGATGATAACTGCAAAGGGCACTACAACTGCTCTAAAACGAATTAAAAGTTTAATTATTTGTTTACAACAAACTAAATATTTAAATATAAATTGTATTTCTGAAAACTTCAAATCAAAGGTTTAATGTGTAAATTGCATTTTTGAAAACTTCAAATCATAGTTCAAATATACTTCTCTAAGACAACAATCAGAAACAAAAGATGTAACATTATCATATTTTGTCTTCTGTCATTCACTGTCTCTGTCTCACAAATCTTCGTCCGTCAATTGTAATCTTTTATTCGATTACAGAATGCATCAAAACTATTTAATGGGAATCTGTTTGTCATAAACTCACATGCAAAAAATGAACCCAGACAAACACCCGGGTGTTTCAAATTACCCCAAGTGTAGAAAGAAATATAAATCATATCACCACAAGTGCCCGGGTGTTTCAAATTACCCCAAGTGTAGAAAGAAATATAAATCATATAACCACAAGTGCCCAGGTGTTTCAAATTACCCCAAGTGTAGAAAGAAATATAAATCATATCACAACAAATGCCCGGGTGTTTTAAATTACCCCAAGTGTAAAAAGAAATATAAATCATATCACGACAAGTGCCCGGTTGTTTCAAATTATCCCAAGTGTAGAAAGAAATATAAATCATATCACCACAAGTGCCCGGGTGTTTCAAATTACCCCAAGTGTAGAAAGAAATATAAATCATATCACCACAAGTGCCCGGGTGTTTCAAATTACCCCAAGTGTAGAAAGAAATATAAATCATATAACCACAAGTGCCCAGGTGTTTCAAATTACCCCAAGTGTAGAAAGAAATATAAATCATATCACAACAAGTGCCCGGGTGTTTTAAATTACCCCAAGTGTAAAAAGAAATATAAATCATATCACCACAAGTGCCCGGTCGTTTCAAATTATCCCAAGTGTAGAAAGAAATATAAATCATATCACCACAAGTGCCCGGGTGTTTCAAATTACCTCAAGTGTAGAAAGAAATATAAATTATATCACCACAAGTGCCCGGGTGTTTCAAATTACCCCAAGTGTAGAAAGAAATATTAATGATATCACCACAAGTGCCCGGGTGTTTCAAATTACCCCAAGTGTAGAAAGAAATATAAATCATATCACTATAAGTGTTTACTAAATTAAACTGTTTTGCTTTAACCGAACTAATTGGTCATACATTTCGTGCGTCCGAAGAGCTTTTCTGGATTTTCCTACACCAGAAACGCTTAAACCTAAACATTAGAAAGCCAGGAAAGCGTGAATTCGCTGCAACGTTAGAAGCTATACGACTAAAAAAAAGACAAAAACGAAATTCAAAACTCAAGCTAAATACCAAAAAAATCACATATAACTAATTTTAATTGTTTACTCGTTCCTTACGCAATAGTTCCAGAACTTGTCTTCGTCTCATAAGAGTTATCCATTGAATACGTGTATATCGTATATCCTGTTTCCTGTCTAGTATTTCTTGGAGATCCTCTCGACAGTGTCGGTTTTCTGAAACTATGAATTGTTTATGGCAGTTTACAAAAGAAATGCGTTTTGCAATTGATATCATACACAAAGATAAATTTAAAAAAGGCGGAAAAGTAGTAATTGCCTTTGCTGGTCTTAAAATTGAAGGACTACGACATTAAATGAATTTTACGTAACCAGAAATATAATACCGCTTACACTTTTGAGATGATTTCTCAGGAACCCAGAGTTATGTTAGCAGTTTTTAACGCTTTAGAATAAAATAAAAAATGATAAAAAGAATAATAAAGTTGAATTTTGTGAGCCTTTTGAATATTATTGAAGAAGTCATAACTTCTATTGATAAGGGGAATAACGAGTATTTATGGCAATGTCTCAATTTCGTAACCCATTGCAGGATAGGTTTACCAAATTAACGTGTGTATCGTATAGCTTACTTATTTCACACTCCGTTCAGATTGATTTGAGAAATATCTCTTCATGCGGGAAATAGATAACACGCTACAATAATAAAATATTTACATTATTGGTTTAGAACGAACAACGTTTGTATGTATAGAATAATCTCCATTCAATCCAAAACCCGTCCTCCGCGTTGGTAATTTTGTAATTGGACGCGTTGTTGTTAATCTGGATGAAAAAAATAATAACAGTAATTAAATACTATACAAATTACGAAACTATATAAATACTAGGGAAAACAGAAAATATGGCTGATGTGCGAGTACTCGGTTGTAATATATTAATATTATATACAAGAAATGTTGCCCGTTCATGGCATTGTGGATAAGTCACTACTCCTATATGTACCGTATATCGGTTTTTTTTTCGCGTCGGCTTTTTTTCGCGATTTGATCACAAAATGGGCAGGTTAAATTTTCACTGTGTATAATTTTCGCTGAATGGGAAAATACACGCGAAAAAATCACCGTATTGAATTGTTGTAAACAATATAAACTTTATTGACTGACAGAGAATCGATAACAAATAAATACGAGTACTTCAAACTAAAATACACGTAATGTTTGGGTAATGACAACACTCAATTGGTCAGCGCTAATTACCGTAACGTTTTTAGACATGCCACTGATTGTTGTGTTGTCACAATAGAATGACATGTATGATTAGTCAATCTAATTATTATGAAAACAGAGATCTTCATCAATGATGCACACTTTTGTGATCTGCCGAAACACAAACGACTGATTTTAAAGAATATTGTAATTTCACCTTTAGGGTGAAATGAGTTTGCATATCAATTTCGTGTAAACTTGACAATTAACAGTATAATATATGAAACGTTTAGACAGCGATAAATCAAGGAATCTGCAGGGAAATTTACGCGGGGTCAAATTTTCGCGTTTCTTTAGAAGCCGCGAACAAAGCGAAAAGTAAACACACGCGAAAAAAACCCGTTACACGGTATTAGTATTAGTAAGAACATACCTGGCAATACACCTAGCGCATGTATATTGATTGTTAAAGAAATCATCGAAGTGGTCCAGCAATATTATACATATTTATAAATTTAGCTTGCTTGCTTTTAGGAACAGCAACAGTTCTTTGATACTGATCTGTTTATTGTTGTTTTGTTTTGGTTTTTTGTCAACACGGCATACCGCTTTTATATTTTATTTTAGTGATTTTATTGTACTGATTTGATTTCTTATCTTTATCATTATCGTCTCCGAAGATTGACAACATAATTTAGGAAGATTCAGGTCTCAAAATAGATCTAGACCTCTCCAAATGTTCATGAGCCTTGAACGTCATTAAGTGTTATAATGTTTTACTATTACTTTGATGTCTTATAATGTCCTCAACCTCAACTAAACTTCCGTCAATAAGCAAGGTTTTTTGGATGTTAAGTGTAATCAATATACCGTCATAATCACCGTACGAGATCAAAATTGTTGTATCAACTACACCATTGTTCTCTTTGTATTTTTAAGCGATGGCCTGCTACATAATGAAGTTTAGAATCTTCCCACCTTTTTTGCCTTTTTGGTTTTAGAACGACTTTAGTCAAAATGTTCGTTTCTAAAGAATTACTAGTTAAATGAGGAGTTGGTTGCATATTCAATGTTATTCAATAAATCTTAGTTTCAGATGGTTTTGCTGCATTTGTCAGCATTTTTCAACAGAAATGGTCAACGTTAAAGATAATACGAATTCAAAATTATATTCTTCAATTAAAACCAATTGAAGGCATTTTTATTTACTTTAAAAGGCATGTCGTTTACATTTTTAGTGTATGCATGAGTGCGGTGAATATCAAGTTACAACTGGGATAAAAAAACGGATTACGCAGATCCCAAAAATACAGTTTCTAGGTAATGCAATTTGAAATAAGATGGACAACAAGCTATGATTATAGGAATTTTGGTTTATGAAAAATCAATCACTGTACATGTGTCATAATATACATGAAACTTATCTTGCATCGATTTTAAAATTGACGATTTCTTTTGATAATTTGACGAGTTTAATAACTTTCTGGCCTCTCACATAATCTACCAATTTAAATTAAATTATATTACGAAACCTGTAATAAGTGGTTTTTTTTTCAGTGGTATCAATCAAACAACAGATTAAATATCTTACTTAATTGGCGGTCTGTATTGACGACATAAAAAAGAAATGAGATGGTATGATTGCAACGACAATTTGACCCTGTCTTCCAAATTATGTGCCTCTTTTATTTCCTTGTTCAGAGTTGAGGCCATCCGAACAGTTAAACTGTGTAGGAATTTCAAGATGATAAACAAAACTTACGTCGTACCCTATGTTATATTGTAAGCCATGTGGACTCTCTCCTTTCATTTGCGATGAGAGGACTACTTAAAGTACATAAGCATTATTTTTCCAAAACTCTTGTTTGACTTAAATCTTTATAAAAAGTTAGCAGAAGTGCGTCTCTAGCCTTTAATGCATTATTTTTATATACATGGGTTTAGATTGTGTTTTTTGTTTGGAGCTGTCTCTTGTTACGAAATTTAATATAAAATATGGAATAATGGTAAATAAATTGTTTACTTTCACCAAAATTTACGATAAAGGAGATGATTTTTATTGCTTATTTTTAATTATCCATTTTTAGATGGTAACGTTCCCTTGTCACCATCTTATGGTGTTTATATATCTCAACTTGTTCGATTCGCTCTTTTATGTAACAACGTATTTGATTTTAACGAAAAAAATCGCTGTATTACTGAAAAATAATTACACCAGGGTTTTCGATATCACAAACTTTTCAAAACATTTACTAAATTTTATCATCGGTACAAGGACATCATTCGTAAATATAAATGAACGTGCAGACATTTTATACGTTCAGGTTTTTCACATCCAATCTTTTATGGTAATATTCTATACAAAGCAAAAAAATGTGCTTGATTTTCATATGATGAAAACTTAATCTTTCAATCAGTTTAATTGATGTCTCGAGCTGGCATGTCAGTAACTGTTTGAAGTCCTTTGATAATTTATGTTATCATTGTCATTTTTTTGTTCTTTTAAACTGAATTTTACTGTGCTTATTGTTGTGTGTTTTTTAATTCTACATTGGCTAGAGGTACAGGGGTGGGTTGAAATCTCACAAAACATGTTTCGGTGTGAGCCAAGTGTCCGTGTTGAATGCCGTACTTTTACCTATAATTGTTTACTTTTCACATTGTGACTTGTCTCATTGGCACTCATACCACATCTTCTCATTTATATTAACCCCGCCGCATTTTTGCAAAGTTCATTACGTTTTTATCGTATAGTGATCGCAATTTTGTTTTCTTTATACTGAATGATCCGAGTTATTTCCAACTACTGTATAAAATCCGAAGGTGATGCATTGTTAGTTATAATACCACATCTTCTTATTTATGATATAAAATGAATTTGGTAGACAATAGGTATTTCCTGTATATATTACGGAGATAAAGTATTAAAGGTTAACATTGTATTATTTGTATTATTTTAATTAGAATATCAAGTCAATATATAACCACAACAAGTGTTTTATTTATTCCAGTAGCCAACAATATCAAAAGGAAAACCTGAACGCCTACTAATGGCCTACCGATGAAATAAAAATGAGAAACACGTAGGTGATTTAAAAATTACCTGCAATTCTATAATATATCCCTCCCCAAAAGAAAATGTTAACTCTAGTGCGCATTTTTTGTTTTCGACTAGACATTTAATATGGCACGCATTAAACAGGCTACATGTATACGATGCATGCATTTATTCACTTCAAACGATAATTCAAAAGTTTCCAAAAGAGTTACACTTACTAATTAAAACAAGGTTCACCAATACATCTGAACATTATATACTAAATTAAAGTAAAACGTGCTCGTGTTTATCCCATTCGAATCACATAATTGAAATTACGCTCCTTAAAGATTGAAAGATAAAGATAGGTGTACACAAACAGGTCAACTTACCGATATAAGGGGTTGGGTCCAATGTTTTAAAAATATAGTACAATATACCAGGTTTATCATTTTGTACGCCAGACACGCGTATCGCTTACACTCGACACAAAATTTCTTTTGCTATCAAATAAGTTGCAAGGCTCAATTATTTGTGGGTAGGAAAAATACATTCAGAATTTTGTGCCAAATATGGCTATGGTCATCTAAGCCTGCGGGTATAAAACCTTTCCAACTGATATTTACAACTTGTTATTACGTTGCACTGTTTTACTACTATCCAATATTAGGGAAGGGATGAATGATTGCAAACATGTTCATTCAAGTCTAATCCAAATCAGAGCATGTAATTCAGTGGTGTTATCATTGGCTGTTGTCCTCCTTTTTTTTTTTTTCTTCTTTTTTTCTTGTTTATTTTTGTTTATCATAAATCAGACCGTTGTTTTGTACATTTTGTCATGTCGGGGCCTTTTGTTGTCGCGAAGCGTGAACATGTATTTAAAATTGCACTCCGCTTATTACTCCTTTTGTTATAATGTATTTAAAGATCCGTTAATTGTTTAACTTAACTCCGTTCTTTGTTTAAAACTCCTTCCTTTGTTTAATATGATCCTGTCATTGTTAAATGCGCTCCTTTCATTGTTTCATATTTGCTATATAAAGCCAGAAGAGCTTAATCAAAGAAAAATAAGGTTATTGTATATGTATCGATGTTACTGATGGAATAAATAATAAAAAAGTAATGTGAGTTTTTTATACTATCAAAATATCCAATTTCAAATGCTTGTGTGACAAGGACTTCACAACATTTTATGGTGCCGGAACCCGGGAATAGGGAACAATTCTGTTAACTTCAAACGAATACAAGATGACGACTTTGAGCCATATGAAAGGTGTTAGAACCAGATACAGGAATACGTTAAACACGGAAATTCAAGAAGGGAATTCAATTCTACATGCGGAAATTTCTAATTCGCAACGTCAGGAAATGGTGCACAAATCCGCCAAGTGTATTGAAAAACTGAATAAATTAATTGAATAATTAAAATAGGGTTTGCTCATTGTGGATAGTCGTACGATGGCCCAAAGTAGATAAAACCCAGATCATTTTTGTTATCTAGATACTGATTAAATGACATAAAAAATCTTGTCTTTTTTTATTTATCTATAGTAGAAAACCTTATTTGATATCTGGAACGGAACAGTACAATCCAGCAGTTTATGTTTACAATAAAGTAGTGAAATACGAGGAAACTGAATTTTTAACACGAATTGAAAACTAATCAGCATTAGTTTTCTTATTTGGGAGTAGTATACACATTGGCAAATAGAGAAAAGACCTTTTAAAATTCCATGTCAACAGCTTTTTTTAAACTTTTTGCTTTCAGTAGCAAATTCTTACATTAAATGAAACTCCTTTATACAAGTATAATGTTAGATATTTTGAGCTGGCATTTTATTTGTGCTAAACAATGACATGCAATCTTGTATCTTCCCCATCAGTAGTAGATGTGTTTTTATACTCTATACAAAATCACGTTTATCAAATTTAATATACCTGTCTACTTGTAATCAATACCGGTCTTGAAACGATATGTATCACAAACAGTATTATGAATACTATGAAAAAAACATTATAATAGTTTCAAGAAAAAAATATTAATATAAATTAGATTATAAATATTACATGACAACAACAAAAACAATTGATAGATTTCAAGCGGTACAGCTTTAAGCAAAAGATTGAAGAGTATTTTGAGCAATACGGCAAAAGTTTTTAAATTCTGAACAGATATTTATAGCTAGGACAATTTATTTTATGTTATCTCCTTTCAAGCAATTAATTCTTTCACATGTATTTTATGAACCATTACTGAAAAAAATCAAGCAAAATTTTATTTATTTTGCTTTACGACTTTTCACTGAAAAATACCTAGTTGAACTAGCAAGTTAGAAGAAATATTGTTTTCGAATCCAAAATAGTAATGATGCGTATGGGTACAGAATATGTCGTTACCAAATTCTTTACACAAAGCCAACCCACGCTTAGCATTTTGCGATAAATTGCGTTATAGTACGGTTGGAATAAAGGTTCCATAAACAATTATTCGTGATGCATATAGAAGCCTTATAGGTTGCACTTTGTAAATACAGCTGTTTCTCAAACCACGCCTCTTTTGGGGAGATATATAATATTCATAGATATGTTAATTTGTTAACGTACTGGTTCCCATTTATGATCTCTGTGTTTCATCACTTGGGAATGTAACCAGTATAGAAAAACATGGTAGCGCCTAAATTTTAATTCTTAGGAGGTCCAAAAATGGAGGTAAGGGTAGTATAGAATTTTAGTATAAGTTTAAACTCTTAGAAGTTCAGGGCATATAAATGTTGAAAATATGCCGCACAGCCCTATATTTTGACCTTTGAATAAAATAGTAGTGCATATAAACTTTCCGTTCTAGGATATTATTTTTCACGAAACTTCATAGTAAAAGTGTCACAGTTTTAGCCGCAAAGGGAGTTCCTATTGGAAATTGCATTGTCTATATTTACAGAATTGCAACCTATATAGGGTTAAAAATTAGAACATACAGAATTTCACAAAATCTTGTTTATCTCAGAGATTTTGAAGAATTTAACTCAATTATGAAGTTTTATAAATATTTCATGAAGATTGAGAAAATCCTGGGCCTAAACTATGATGAGTCAGCATAAATTCACAGTTTACAGTATGCATTGTATACTTAAAGCCCTGAATTAAAAATAAATTCATAATATATGCCTATTTGTAATTTAAATTGTTCAGAAGTGCTTATATTTACTCTTCGCAGTCATTGCAACTCATTGATCCTTCTTAAATATTTTTGGTGGGGTGTTTTTGTCCTGTCGATAACCCAAAAGTAAGCCGTGACACCTAAATGTGCTTTTTTGTGACTGCGGCATAAAAAGTACAAGCTAGAATTACAAAAAGATCTCAATAAAACTTAAAACAGTGTGTTCTATCCTGAATATATACCAAATATTCCACATTGCTAGAAACAGGGAAATAATTTAGGAAATGTGAGGCCCCAGGGGCAAAAAACAGAGAAAAATGCCTCCCCCTGGGTCATAAAACAGATAATTTAACTTCTAAATGCTATGATTTAATTATTTTAAAGGTCTTTTGTAAAGAAAACAATAACTGTGCTAGGAAGTTATGCAAAAATAAGATGTAAGCAGTCATTTCTATTAAACTTTTAATGAATTTATGCACCAGACTGATATCTTCATAAATACAACTTTTGCAATTATAGCTTTGTTTAAACACTTCTAGTTCATATATTAACTAACTTATGTTAGATATATGGTTAGGGATGATACTGTTGTAACATGAATTCTAAACTGACCATTTGAGGCAGAAATTGTGAACTTTCATTGACAAATAGGCATACAATAAGATGTAGACTGGAGACACAGGCAGGATTGGATACTTTGTATAATCTTGAATGTTGGAATGATTAACTACTAAACATTTCATCTAAAGTATTTTAAAATGCATTCAATTTGTTATCAGAATAGTTTCAAACAGGTTTTAGACAGTTCATGTCAGAAAACATGCACATAGGGTAAGCTGGCAATAATTAAAGTCTTGTTTTCAAATTCTTTAAAAAAATGAAACAGGGGTAGGGGTATAAAATGTACTGTAAAAGGAAACTTAGAGTATATGCAGTGATTTCTTTAAGGCTATAATTCGGATAAATAAGTATTGTTGTGAGAAAAAGTGTTTTTAGAGAGTTTTCTATTTGAATAAATGTTTGTATAGGTTGCACTTTGTAAATACAGCTGTTTCTCAAACCACGCCTCTTTTGGGGAGATATATAATATTCATAGATATGTTAATTTGTTAACGTACTGGTTCCCATTTATGATCTCTGTGTTTCATTTCATAGAGACATCACTTGGGAATGTAACCAGTATAGAAAAACATGGTAGCGCCTAAATTTTAATTCTTAGGAGGTCCAAAAATGGAGGTAAGGGTAGTATAGAATTTTAGTATAAGTTTAAACTCTTAGAAGTTCAGGGCATATAAATGTTGAAAATATGCCGCACAGCCCTATATTTTGACCTTTGAATAAAATAGTAGTGCATATAAACTTTCCGTTCTAGGATATTATTTTTCACGAAACTTCATAGTAAAAGTGTCACAGTTTTAGCCGCAAAGGGAGTTCCTATGGGAAATTGCATTGTCTATATTTACAGAATTGCAACCTATACATTAAATGATACAATAATATTTGTTGCGTTCACAACGACAATTAGTCTCACTTACCAGATAATGGAAAAGTTAAATTCAAATGTAATGAAAAACAATTGCCGAAATTATATTGATCTCCATTACATTCACAGGTCTGATTTTATTACCGGAAGTGTCTTATGAGGGATTCCATTTAATTGTATACTGCAACAGGAACAGTTCCTGTTATTATTGTGTCCTAAAAAAAGTTTTAAATAGTGGAATAGGGAGCTCATTAAGGAACGGAAATGAATGTAGGTTGTTTGTAAATATTTTCATACGTATTATTGTAGCCTTTCATAGATAAAGTATAGACATAATACTTTATCAATGTCTGCTAATACTATTTGTTTTGTATTCGGAACGGAACTGATAAACAAAGTAAGTAAACAACGCCCCTCGCCGGTTTCTAGGCCTCATACAAAATTTAGGTTTTTCCTGACATTGACCTTAAATTTCATTTCTATTGTGGTGCTTGTGCAATAAACCTGTATTTCGTAAGACCTAATATTAGATTGTTCATGACATTATTCATCCACAGTTAAAACCCATTTTTAAACCATGTTTGAATAAAAGACAATGTGTTTATTTTACAGTAGTTCGCGTGCCTTTTTCAAATCTTTTTAAATAGTATTCTTCTTTTGTCTAGGCCGCATTATGTATGTATGCAAACAATGTATTGTATAAAAACTATGTACTTTCTATGCACCTGTTAAACGAATTATACGATGTGTGTAAAGTTAGCAGCTGGTTCCTAACTCGTTATTTGATATTCTTAATATCAGTTGAAAATAGTAAAACATGGATATTTAAAAAAAAGTCTTTAAATGATGACTATATTAAAAAGTAGATACAAAGAAAAACAAGAAATCGAAATTTTTCTGACCCCAGCAGATAATCGGATAACCCCTTACATTATTTTATCTAACACAAATTCGGTTATTTTTCTGATATTGACCTAAAATTTCAATTTTATTGTGCTTGAGCAATAAACCGATACGATGCAAGACCTACAATAAAATCGTTCAGGATAATATTAATTCAAAGTTAAAACGGAAATCCAACCCATGTTTAAATGAAAAAGTTAATGTGTTTATTTTATAGTAGATCGCGTTCCTTTTTCCAAACTTTTTAAATAGTATTCTCCTTTTGATTTTGGCCTTAATTTGTATGTGTACATACAATGTATTGGGTAAATTATATGTACTTTATATGTGTTAGCGGAAATAAGTGAAATTAAGCATTAAGCTTAAATTCTATGCAATAAGCTAACACCTAGGTATAAAGTTATTGCCTAAAACTTTAAAACATTAGGCTTATTTCCAGAAATCTGATGAAGATTTTTCAACCTATTGTCAAACATTCAGTAAACGTCATTTCAAGCAATAAGTGAAATTTATGATTTTTGTTTTGTCTTCAACATACATTACATTCGATGAAATTCTCTTGATGGACAATTTCTGTTTTTATTTTATTCCAAATATTAATATACATTTATAAGTTGATAACTTAAGTACAGGAAAAAAATGGCAGAATTTTTTTTATTTTTCTAGAGGAATTGTATTGTATTTTGGGAAAGACTCGTAAAGAAACAGACCATGTCGATAGAGACCTTACATTTATGATACTGTATAGCGGGATTTTTTCGCGGGTGGTTTATTTTCGCTTATTTTGGCGGATAAATGAAAATCGCGAAAATAAAATCCGCGAAAGTTTCTGCATACGTTCAGTACTTTCTATTAGCTAAAGCGTTTTGTGAACCATGTATTGTTTTCCGGTCGGCAGGTCAATAACGGTATATGTTCGTTTAAACAACTAAAATGACAAAGGGAATTGTACATAAATGTGACGTAGTCAGTTCTAATTTTGAAAACTGTATATCATTATTAATTAGTGTCAAACAATCAAAAGTATAAGGTACTCTGTCAGGTATTTTACCTTATTAGTAAGTGTCAAATTACATAAAAGATTTAAGTCACTCTTGATAATTCATTACCTAATTAAGATATCAAAGGTCCGGTCAATTTCGTGACTAATCAACCGTAACATTTACTAGAAGTTTGTTAACCTGTGACAAATACCTACGTAACCTGTGTTCCTTTGTTTAACTGTAATTTAATCAATAAATCAGACGTAATTCAAGTATGAAAAAAAGCATTTATCCATGACGATAGACACTTGTTTGATTGACTTTTTTTTAACTGCAATCATTTCAGTATCCGCCTAAATATTTAATTGAAAATTACGAATCCGCCAAAATAAAAACCGCCAAAATGTTTCGTATACTTTGTTGCCCCCTAAAGCGCGAAATTTTACACCCGCGAAAAAACACGCTATACGATAACAACTTAATAATATTAAACATATTAAAAGACAGAGGCGTGTTGATCAAAGCTGTCCTAGGATCTGTCCTACGACCTATCTTAGGAATGAATTAGGATAATGTTAGGACCGACTTGCGCCATGTCTCAGCATGCACATCGAAGCTACTGCAATTGTAATATCTCAGGAATAAGAACAAGAACACGTACAATAAGTCACTGAAAGTTAAAACATTAAAGAATATTTACTAAATAAAAATTAGATACAAAAAAAGTTAATAATAAATAAACGGGATCCACTATACAAGCCCCTCTGTTGCGTACGTGATAATCTATACTTGACTATATCATCAATTGAGTGGATTATTATAGTCCCTACGCAGTCTATGTCTACGAAAATTATTTATTATGCACCCTAAATAATTGCTTGCATCTACTTCATTTGCACTTTGGTGGATAGTTGTATTATTGGCAATCATGCCACATCTCATTACTTTATATATATATATATATATATATATATATATATATTTACAGTCCGCCAAAAGTTAAGCACCACCTATTTTTATTGCATCGAATTTTTTTTCATTTAACAAAATTAGTTAGTCCTCGAAAAAGAGAAAATATTCATGTAGCAATTTTGCTAACATATACCATAAAGACACCGTAGACTTAAGTTTGTTCACGTATGCAGGTTCTATGCATTTGAAATTTGCGTTAAAAAAAATAGTGAAAATTACACAAATCAGAAACGGAAATTAAGTTTCACTGTGATTTTATTTTTTTACAACAATTAATCACCCAATATCATTAAAAGTCTCTACAAATAATCTTTGGTATGTTCGGCAAAATTAATGTCAATATTTGAGTCAATAGGATGTGTAACACCCTCTCTGCCGGTACAGTTCCATAACACGGAGTCTCATACTCTGTACAAGCCTTCTGAAAATTAGCTGAGCAAATTTATTCCATTCAGCAACAATTGCGCTTCTTAAATCGCTAAGATTTTACAAAGGTGGATCTCTGCGATTGAGATTTCTGCCAATGGCATCCCAGACATGTTCGATAGGGTTCATGTCTGGAGACATGGAAGGCCAAAAGATAGTGTCAATGGCTTCTTGCTCTTTGTACTCTTTGTACTTGGTTACAATCCTTGCCATGTGTGGTCTAGCATTGTCGTACATGCACAAGGGTCTTGAAGCAAGTGGAGGATTATCAAAATGAGGGACTACAATGTTTCTAAGTACCAAATCCCTGTATGTCTGTCCGTTCATGTTACCCTGCAGAATATGCATACCCACCTTACAACAGTATGAGAAGAAACCCCATACTGTAACACCACCGTATGCAGTCGTTGGGCAAATGCTGTTTTGTTCATTAGCAGTTTAATTTCCACGGCAAACTCGTATTCTGCCGTCTATGGGTCGTAACAGAAACTGACTCTCATTCGACCAATGGACATTTTGCCAGCTTTTCATGATCCAGCGTCGATGGTCATTAGCCCTTTGAAACCTGATTATACGGTGCCTGGATGTTAGGGCAGGTCTCTTGACAACACGACGTGCTCTTAGGTAGCCTCTATGAAGTCGACGGACCAATGTTCGAACATTAACATGACCACCTTGACGCCAGTGGTGTCTAAGTTGTGGGACAAGATTAAATGAGTTGGCTTTAGCGCAACCAATAAGGAGTCTGTCATCACGATCGGTAGTTAAACGGGGTCTTCCGGATCTTGGTCTATCATTTACAGTTCCTGTGTCAACATGACGTTGTAAAAATCTGACAATGACGATGTGTTTAACATTGAAATGGTTACCTATGCAACTAGTGCTCCTACCGGCATTTGACATGTCAATTGCTTGTCAAGGTTCAGTCACAAATAACTTACCCATTACCATATTTCACAATGACTTTGTGAAGGTCAAATTTCACCTGTACGCGGGGCAGTAGGAAGATGATTTAAAGGCATCAAAACAGTGCATTCGAAAAAGTGCAGATGACCTTTAATACAAAATTAATTGCTTGGCGTGTTGATCGGAGTTTATTTTTTTGGTCGTAATGAATTTTCTTAGTGTATGTTATAGGCAATTCATAACACCAAACATAAATATTTTTTTCGCAATAGTTAAAAAAATATTGCCAGTTATATTTAGGTGGTGCTTAACATTTGGCGGACTGTATATATAGGCGGTGGTCATATTTGTTCTCAAATTAACCATCGTAAAATATTTCATAAAATATAGACCTAAATTGGTGACCTAAACAGACGACGATTCCTATGACTCTTCTTAAGTTACGACATACTTGATACATCCACATTAGGACAAAGATATGTCCTAAGATGATCATATGAAATGTCCTAGTCATAAGAGCGCTTCGATAAACAGGCCCCTGGTTGACCTAATGGATTTCCAATAAAACCCCGATAGAAACCATAAATTTCGCGAGGTGAACCAAGATAATTTTGCTACAATAGAGCTCTTACGTTAATTTTGGTGCGCCCAAAAAATTTCAAAGTAACAATGGTCGTAAATTTACGCTTTCATTATATTTGTTAAATGCAGTGCATGTACATCCAAAATGCTTGAATAACAGAATGAGGTGAAAATCCAAGAAGAACAGAAAAATGTGCAGCAGTTTGTGCCACAGCTCAGCGCCTGTGGTAATAAATAATTTTAACAAATTTAAAATGCTCTATCAAGTTTACGTATCTTCTATTTTAGTATTGATATTTTCCAGGTAATTGGAATTGACATTGTAAACTTCTGTTCTTATTATGTTATTATGTACAAAATGTATTTAAACTCCTTTAAATTTTAGACATTAAGATTAATGTCTTAACATATTTTTCAGGATTTAAGAGTAATGCCTAACATCAAG